AACACTTAGATCGGGCAAAGCCGCATAATATCTGTGATATATATGCACATTTTCATCTGAACCTATGTACATACCTGTCCCTTCTATTGTTCATAAGAGTAACTATACTAATTTATATAAATGAGATCAAATTCACTTGAGCAAATTAATCTAATTGCAAGTAATAACAGAAAAACATTAAACATTAAAAAATTAAATTCTTTATTTTATTATAAAAAGGTCTCATAACAATTAAAGTGAATATTATTATTATCATGATTATTATTTTTATTATTATTATTATTATTATTATTATTATTATTATTATTATTATTATTATTATTATTTTTATTATTATTATTATTATTATTATTATTATTATTATTATTGATATTGATATTATTATTATTATTGATATTATTATTATTATTAATATTATTATTATCATTATTATTATTATTGTTATTATTATTAATATTATTATTATTATAATTATTATTATAATAATTATTATTATTATTATTATTAATATCAATAATATTTGTATTATAACTATTCTTATTATTATTATTAATTGTATGTTATCATAATCATTATTATTATTACAGCTAATATTATTTTTATTATTATTATTTTATTTTATCAAAACCTAGGCCTGATTTAGTTCCGTACCAGTTCACGTCTTAGCTCTAATTCATAGATTTCTAGTGAATTATGTGTTTTACTTGTTTCAAAACTCTTTTCTTGTATAATACGATTTTTACTTGGTTTAAGCTCAATCTAAATAAATTGTAGTGCGCGCCTTTTCTCTCCGTGTACACGCTCGTGTACATGTGCATGCATGTGTGCACAATCAAATACATACATATAACATATGCATGTGGGCGTGGTTCATGCTTGATTAAATCGAAACGAATGTTTCGTTTAGCTTTTATGGCTGGCTTTGAACCCAAACAAATTTTTTAAGTTTTTGTTGGGAATTCCAAAAAGAATACAATAAAAAAACATCCCCCCAATTTTCTATAAATGCTTTACTCACGGTGCCGCAAATTCAAATTTCACGCTTTTAAATATATTTTATGTTATTATTATTATTCAGTTTTTTTTTGCGTTTTTTTATTATAATTCTCATTTTGACATAATGCGCACCTGATGCCGTTGACGGCTGCACGGCAAATTGGCCGACACTTTGGTTGGTGTTTTTGGTAAAAAATAAAAAAATTCCGACAGCAACGCCCTCCACCCCACCAACAGTCTAACCACCCTGCCCATCGTGGCCTTAAATATGCACACCCCTCGCACCCCACGCACCCCTCGCACCCCTCGCGTATTCATCGCACACATTAGCGCGGCTTTGAGAGGTACGCAATAAATCCAGCTCAAAATTATTTTCAGGGGGCGAATTCGAGGCGGTTGTGGGTTAGTAAAGTCTTAGACCGGCACGGAAATGGGCGTATAATTTTCTCGCTGGCCGCCCCTCGCAGGCTTCATATACCCACCACCCCACTCCCCATCCCCTGACTCGACATTTTCAATTTCAAGTTATGATGACATCCAAAACGGCGATACCAATTTTGATGGTGCGGTGCATAGACCCATTCCCGCACCCGTAATGAAAACGGACAGGTGCGTCAAGAGCCATAACAAGCTGCCTCCCAGTGCTCCACTTTTCGCACGTCTGTAGGTATTTCAGAAATCCCCAAATCCAATGGAGCTCTGCGTCTGTTTTGTGATTTGTGGTTAGTGGTGCGCGTTACTTGGCAATGATTAAACTTGGTTGGGTCCCTTTAAAAACATTTTTAACACTCATTCAAAAACATGCATTCGTGTATTACAATCTTTTAAGTGACCAAGTACTTTTGGGCAACTGAACAAGAAGGATTTTGGCTCGAATCGCAACCTAGTTAGTGTACGGCTCTTGTATTGTTTTATTATATATGCCAAGAAATGCTGATAATAATCATTCTTAATATCCGATATAGAATAAGCATTGAAATTCCCCGTAAAAAGCTTAGCCAAATCTTACAGAATGGCTAAAGTTGCTGTAAAGTCGTTAGTTTTGTAAATTTGATCCATGAATAAGAAACTCATTCTGGCTTTGGTTTCTCATATTTATTTTCCTTCAGTTTCATTTTCACATTTCGGCTTATTTAATAATAATTTAAATCGACAAGCATTCAAATTGACAATTACTGCGCGAGTTGAACCGCTGACTTCTCGTTTTAAGTCCGACGTTCAGAGTTTGCAAGCCCCAATTATGTCTGCCTGTCTTCTTTTTAATGCTTTTCATGCAAACTGTGACCAGCGTTTTTACCTCGAGTTTTCAAAAAGCCGTCGTGATGCTTACTTTCAAGCAGTCAATCAGTCTGTCGGGATTGTGCAAGTTGTTTATAATGTCATCCCGTGCTGATTAGAGGGCATCTACTAGTCGTCCACTTTCGGCTAGAACACTCTTGCTTGTTGCAGCGTATCTCGGGCCTTATCTAACGGCTGCGTGCGTGTCTGCGAAAACAGGTTTCACTGATTTTCAATTTCAATTGTCTTATATGCCCGAAGAGAAAGAAAAAGAGCAACAGCGAGAGCGAATCTGATCCGAATGGTCTTGAGAGGCGGCCAAGTTAATGCGTGCGTGTTTCTATCTGCGTCGTTTGCCGTTATTTGCGCACATTTACAATTTCTTTTACTCAGTGGGTGCCGTCGCCGTCGCGGGTCGGCTTGTGGGTCGATTGCAAGGTTGGGCGTTCGCCTGGTCGGTGGGTCGGTTGGTCCGTTGTCGGTCGGCCAGACGTTTAGTCGGATGGTCGGTTGGTTGGTCGGATGGTCGGTCTGTCAGTCGAATAATCGGTCGGTTGGTCGGTCTGTCAGTCGGATAATCGGTCGGACGGACGGTCGGTTGGTCGATCGGTTGGTCAGTCGGTCGGATGGTTAGACAAACTGTCGGCTCGATGGTCGGTCGGTTGGTCGGTCTGCCAGTCGGATAATCGGTCGGACTGTCTGTTGGACGGACGGTCGGTTGGTCGATCGGTCGTTTACACTATTGGTTGGTCAGGTTGGTTAGATGGTCGGTCGGTCCGTCGGACAGTCGGGCGGACGGTTGGTCAAACCGTCAGAAGGCCGGGTGGACGGTTGATAAAAACTTTCGGGCGGTTCGGCGTGTGATCGGTCGAGTGGGCGGTCGGTCGATTGGTCTGTCCGTTATCCAGTCTACAATAGATGATATAGTTGATTCTCTGAGTTTTATTTTGTCGTGGGCTTCGTGTGTGCTCTGTTTCCCACCACCCCTGTTACTCATCATGCAACGTCACTTAATTTGAACTTTGCTTTATACATGTCTTATTGTAGTCCATTTTAATACATTATTATTTTGATTTTCGCTTTCGCTGCCTTCGTCGCTGTCGCTGCGTTCATTTCATTTGTGCTTTAATTTAATGAAATCTTTACAATGTTCTATTTTCTTTTTTCCACCATTGCGTTTACGCTTCGCTCACAGTCTGATGCGGTAATTCCGAAGCGCGAGGCACTTTTCTCGAATAAATACGTCATTTATTTGTCTTGTTCATTGTGTCATGCCTAATGCTGGGATAATGGAGAATAACTTGTAGGTGTGTACAGAAAGCAGTCGAAACAGTTTTTGATCGACTGTGGCATACCCTGTAGTTTTTATTTTTACTTTCAGTTTTGCAGCTATCTCAAGACCAAAGATAACTTTACTTTTTTAATCTGTTTACAGGCTTTATGATATGAAATGCAGTTAAGCATAGGTTATACATATCCAAATCTTGCTCACTTTACAGGGTATATACCTTTCGTATTCGCATCTCGAGCTGCACTGCTTGAGCACGTGCACGTAAATCTCATGATTTACTTCTATAAAAGTGAAAATTGAATTATATTAATAATGCCAAGGCTCGTGTTCAAATGAATGCTGAAAAGCTTTTTATATAAATATACATGTGTATCTATTTACATATGCGCGCACACAAATCTACTTTAATTGCAGTTAATTTGAACATTAATTAATCTAAGTATTATTTTAATTTTCTCATTGCAGGCTTGCGGACAAACTTAAATTGTAATGGAAACACAGCGACAATAATGAATCGCATAATCTCTCTTTTCTGTTGTGCACACATATATATATATACATATATATAAAGACACACTCACACACACACACACAAAGTGCAATATTAATTTTAATTTTTGAGTGCTGATAAAAAAGTTGACGACGTCGCCGCCCGCAAAGGCGACGGCAAAAGTTCACATAAAACGGCAAAAAGTTTTTCAATTATTGTAAAAAGTGTTAAAAAACGACAAACGAATAAAAGAGAGCGAGAGTGAGTGTCAAGAGTTGGCTAGGAAAAGCGCGAGAGAGAGACAGACAGAGAGAAGAAGAGAGAGAGAGAGAGAGAGAAAGAGAGCGAGTGTGGTTGACTGTCCTGTCGAGTCGCGCAGGCAAAAGGAGCACAGCGCAGACATATCATAAATATTAATATCAATATATATATATAACATACATACTTAAAATTGTTAATTGATTTAATTGCTTTTCTATGAATATTGAAAAATTTCTATATAATCATATATATACACAGAAATTGCATTTAAATATCGTTAATTGCTTTTTTAATTGGTCAGTGCTGCAAAATTGATCGAGCTTGATACGAAGTGGAGCCAAGCGGCAATTCAGTGTTAGAAAGTGTTTAAAAATTCCGCTCAGCTGCCACACAGCTAAACAAACTTAAAGAAAAACAACAAGAAAAGAAGAAGAAGAAGAAAACAACAACAACAATCCAAAAAAAAAAAAAAGAACTGAGCAAACAAAAGACAAACAACTGACAAGTGGCCAAAGACAACGCCAAAATGAATCCGAGGCCCGTGGGCATTGGATTCGGATGCGGCCGCAAACCACCCAACAATGCCAAGATGCGTTCCCGATGGCCGCCACCAACAACACTGTCAGCAATTGCTGCAACAGCAGCAGCAGCAACAACAACAACAACAACGAAAACGACAACTGCAAACGGAGTGACAACAACAGCAACCAGAAAACTAATACAACATCAACAACAACAACAACACAGCAAACATTGGAGCAGTCCTTGCTCGCAATTGATCAACCTTCTCGTCCTTACACTGGCCATTGTAGCTCTTAATAGCTTGGATAGCTTCCTGCCGGCACCGGCCGCGGCAACGCTGGTCGGCGATACGCGACTTCGTCAGAATCCAACAGGTAAGCTAGTAATTTTATTTGAATATCATCGCAATTATTTGTATTTCAAGTATTTCAATATCCCAAAATCCATTTATTAATATTTTAAGTTGACAATTCTGAAGTTTTCTTTTTGTACAAAAGTACTTTTTTACAAAAACAAAACAAAAAAAAGCAAAAATTATTCAAATTCTTAAAAGTGCCTTTAAAAGATAATATTGAACCGTCCGCTTGCTCAATTTTTGGCATAATCAAGTTGTTTCAGTTGATCGGATCACTGAGCTCTATGTTTTGGGTTCGAACTTCTGAGAAAACGCAAGACTGCACATGTTTCTGCACGTTTGAACCGGCAGCTGCGCTTAAATTGGTGCACACAAATCAGCCCAACAATTGAGAGCTATAACTGGGAACAGAGTATTGCGCAGTCGTGGGACTTACACATTTATTTGAGTTTAAGTCTCGTTTGAATGATCTCATTTCTCCTTGTAGATGTTTCGATCCGTTGGCAGGTAAGACCCGCAACAGGGATTGGCTGCAAAGACCTTGTCTGAGTAGACTGTTGTAGAATGTTGAAGCATTTGCGAATCGCACCTCAATTTTGGCAATTAAATGCCCAACAAAGCTTTTCAACTGATTTCAACTTGAACAACAAAAATTAATGCACAAATAACTTGCACTATATTTCCATTGTCCTCTTGTAATGAAAATGTGTGTGTGTGTGTGTGTATGTGTGTTTGTGTGTATTAGTTGCCCAGTAAAACTTGATTCCGATCCGAAACAAAACGTTTTTATAGAGAAACCAAATTGTACGATATCTTAAGTGCAAGCTGGCAACAAAGAGGCATGAAAGAATCTGAATTATGCAGCGACGAAATCAGGAGGTGGCGCATAATTACATTGACATGCTCGAGTCCCTGAGTCGCATTTGGAGTCATGAAAAATACCTGACTTTAGCAACGGCAACTTCATGTCTTGCCTTTTGAAACAAGTTAATAAGCAATTGTTTTTCACGATTTCATGCACAGATTGGCATTTCAAATTAAAATTGTGATTACATGAGGTATAACTGGCAAGACATATTTATTTTTTCTCTTTCCGGGAAACACTCTGCACTTCTGCAAAGATCTGCTGGGTGGTCGTGTCACTCGGAATCTGTGCGCCTGTGTTGCACTCATAATTTGCCCGCAGCATGACCAACATTTCACACACTTACACATATACATATGTATATATATATGAGGAGTACGCATAACAGAGATAGAGAGAGTGAGAGAAAGTTGCAGTTAGGGGCGCCCCAAAGCCGGCGGTGTGGTAAGCTAAGCCGCACAAAGTTTAGTTGCGGGCGAAAAGTTATGACAAAAAAGATAGGAAGTCGAAAAAGAAAGCCGCATGGCAAACGTCAAGGGCACAAGAAAGAAAAGAAGCGAAACCAACATATTGTCCACAAAAGAAAATTTATACATAAAATTACAAAAATTACTTCGGAAAAATGTAAAATATGTACGTACATATGCATGCAGACAGTTGCTTTGTTACACCGCAGCTTTTAATTTTCTCTAAGCCCAGATAGACTTAACACATGTTCATACTTATACGGCATATGGAAAATCTCAGCAAACTATTTTGCATATATTCTCCATTTTACTATTTTATCCAAGGTTTTAAGAATAAATTCGTACTATTCACATTTCATGCAGCACAACCTTGAAATCACTGTTTCTGAGCTGAAAGTGTGAATTTAAAGTGAATTCAATACCGAATTTTCCGAATCGTTGAGACACGTTTTCATTCGTTTAAAATGTAAATTCTTACGAAAAGTTGTTGTTACATTTTGTTGTTGTATTTTCCGCAAAGTACGAAGCACATCAAATGCGTTTTAATCATATCTTTAGAAAAGACCTTTAAACCGATCGGCTGGTGCTCAAAATAGTTTCATAATAAACGTCTTCCACGAATATTCCGCACTTGCGGGTGAAATTTTTCAAAACCTTTCGAATATTCAACCGATAATTCCCTATTCCTATTTGGGCTGCGTGTATTTTCCAAAAAGTCAAATTAGCTTTTACTTAGATCTTAAAAAAACGACTTTAAAACAGATTGGCTGGTGTTCAAAATAGTTTCATTATAAAAGTATTCATTCTCATCCAACTATCAGTTAGTCTGACTAGGCCGTCAGTCAGTCAACAGTCATTCAGTCAGTCAGATCGTTTAATATATATATATACATATGTACATATATACAGACTTGATCGGTTCGCAATCACGGTTTTATTGCAAATTTATAACAAAAATTATATTTTTTATGAAGAGACGCAAGCCTTGTCATAAAACCCGAACACCCGTATCAGCGTGCCCATAAAGACACAAACACACACACACACACACACACTCAGACGGGCGCCCACACAGAGAAGTGAAAAGTGTGGCCGAGTTGATGTTGTTGCTTCGGTAATGTTTGCTGTTGTGGACTCTCCCTTTAAATAATTCGTTTTGTTGTTGCTTTGTTATCGTGGTTGCCTGTTGCCAGAAATTATGAATCAGGAAGTCTTAATAAGCGCAATTTCAAGTCATTATTCACATAGAGAACGCTCGCCACATCTTTGGCGAGAACAGAACAGAAAAAATGACGACAACGTTAAGTTGTAGCTGTAGTAGGGCTTGCTACATACGAACACATGCATACATGCATACATGCATACATGCACATATTTATAAAGATATATGTATATTAACTATCGGTGTCCAGCCACACGAGCTGGCGAAAAACTGTTGTTCGTGTGTGTGTGTGTGTGCGTGTGTGTGCGTGTGTTGTGTGAATTACAGGGGCGTCGTGCTGCAGTTGCTATTGCCGTTGATTTTAATTAAGTGAAACGTTTAATGTGCGCCACAGATTTGTGTGTTCGCGCCCTTGATGCTGGCCCAAGGGCGGGCTGGGGCGGATGGTGTAGGTCGTTAGCTATAGCAGTTCGATGGCCAGTCTGGGGCAAAAGAACTTTAGTGAGACAAGTGTTGATCAAATTGTTTTAAGTGGATCTCCAGAACAGCGGCATGTGTGCAGGCAGACAGACAGACAGACGGGCACACATATTAACACAGTACGTCTGTATGTATTGTATGCATGTGTGCATGCCTGCCTATGCACACATGTACAGCTTTGATCATTCACAGTTTTGATGCGTCTGACTGTCATGCGGTGAGCGCCTGATTTGAATTGCCGTCATAATCACTAATCTAGTTATTAAAAGCTCGCTTCTGCCAGCTGCTAAGCGTCGCTCTTTCTCTCTTTCTTTCGCACTTCGTTCTCCCTCTGCTTCTTCACGCCGCTGGCCAAGTGCAAGTCCAGTGCAGTCATGTGACAAACAGCATGACAAACAGCCAGCTAGTCAATGTGCAGTTTCTCTCACTTCCCATTTCGCATTATTTTTCTGCTGCTGCTGCTGCTGCAGCCAACTGTTGTTGTTGCTGCCGCTGGTACTGCTGCTACTCCAGCAACAATCAAACAGCAACACAAAGTCATTTAATGCAATTTGCTGATTGCGCTCTATGCTGTTATTATTGTGTGCTCCTCTTGTGTTGTTGCTGTTGTACCTTTTGACATTTGAGCAGAGCTTTGCACAGACCTAACAGTGCATTCCGCCTCACTCACACTCACACTCGCACTCTGTCGCTCTCGGTCTTACACTCATGACAGTGCATGGGTGGCTGGCGCCAAAGTGCAAAAGGCAAAAGAAGAAATGACTTTAATGGCATTTAATAAACAGCATACAACAAAAATTTGCCCAAGCAGTGTGAAGAAGAGGAAGAGCAGACGACAAAAGGCAAACGGCAATCGGGCTGGCAACCAGACAGGCTGACGCAACCGGATTCAAATTCCAGTTTCAATATGACAGACGCCTAAGAGAATGCAGCTGCTGCTGCAGTCACAGCATTTGACTCTGTGCTGCTGCTGCTGTTGCATCTTGTGGGTCGCATCAATATCAATGTGCTAGTTACAGAGTGACACCCATTCAACCCGGCAACGGCAGCACCTGAAGCTGCAACTGTGACTTGTTTCACCTCCGCGGTTTATGACGACGTCATCATGTTACTCAGCCTTACATAATGCACGTTGGTATTGGCCAAGCCGAGTGCCAAGAGCTAAGAGCCAAGTGCCGAGTGCCGAGTTCCATCTCACGAGATAGACACAATTGTCCATTCCCATGAATCGCGTTTGTTATATTGTAGTACTAATAGTTAGTTGCCGGCGTTGCCCGGCTCAATTTCACCAGCTCTTTTTTTCTCATTTTCTAATTTTCATTTATTTTTTTAAATAAATTATATGTAAAAGAAAAAAAATGTATTCAACTTAAAAATGAATATAGTTTTTGAGTATAAAATAAGTTATAAAATTTTTGTTAACTGGCAGTCTCAGCTCCAGGTTTCGTAGCTCTTGCAGTCAGTCAGTCATTCATTCACTCAGGTAGTCTGTCAATCATTCATTTTAACAGCAGTCAGTCAGTCAATGATTCAGTCAGTCAGTTAATGATTCAGTCAGTCAATCATTCATTCATTCAGCCAGCAGCCAATCATTCATTCATTAGTCATCCATTCAGTCACCTAGTCAATCTTTCATTTATTCAGTCAGTCAGTTAGTCAGTCAGTCAGTCATTCATTCAGTCAGTCAGTCAATGATTCAGTCAGTCAGTTAATGATTCAGTCAGTCAATCGTTCATTCATTCAGCCAGTCAGTCAGTCATTCAGTTAGTTAGTCAATCATTCATTTAGTAAGCATTTAGTAAGTTCATCATTCAGTCACCTAGTCAATCATTCATTTATTCAGTCAGTCAGTTAGTCAGTAATTCAGTCCGTCAGTCAGTCATTCACACATTTTTTCAAGCAACAGTTATTTATTCCGTCAGTCTGGCAGTCATTCAGTGATTGAATGATTCAGTAATTCAGTCCGTAAGTCAATCATTCATTCAGTCAGCCAATCAGTCATTCAATGAGGCAGTCAGTCAGTCCGTAAGTCAATCATTCATTCA